ACCGCTTCATCTTTCGCGCTCTGGACTTCCGCCTTTCCATTTATGGGCAGTGCGCTGTGAGCGCGCAAAGTGATTTGTGACGGGCAGACAGTATCAAACGCATTCTGATTGGCTAAAAAGATTCTCACAGCGGCCTTTACAGTAGTATAATTTTCTACATACCATGTCAAACAAATTTTCTCAGAGCATCTTTAAATAACAGAAGCTTGGAATAATTGTGTAACTGAAAATCAAGACTTGTCTAAATAGCCAGATTTTCCCCCATTTACTTACAATTCTGGTTTTATATCGCTTTCAGTATCTGGTCTGACCTCCTTTTGCAGCAATAACTGCAGGTAATGTTTCTTGTAACTGCTGATCAGTCCTGCACAACATCTTGAAGGAGGTTTAGACCATTCCTCAGTACAGAACCGCTTCAGCTCTGTGATGTTGGTGGGTTTCCTCCAATGAACTACTTGCTTCAGTTCCTTCCACAATTTCAATTGGATTAAGGTCCGGACATTGACTTGACCATTACAAAACATTTGCTTTGTTCTTCTTTAACCATTCTTTGGTAGAACAACTTGTGTGCTTGGGGTCCTTGTCTTGCTGCATGACCCACTTTCTCTTGAGAATTAGTTCACTGACAGATGTCCTGACATAATTATTATTCATTGTTCCATCAATGATGGCAAGCTGTCCTGGTCCAGATGCAGCAAAACAGGCCCAAACCATGATAGTACCACCACGTTTCACAGATTGGATAAGGTTCTTATGCTGGAATGCAGTGTGTTCTTTTCTTCAAACATAACGCTTCCCATTTAAACCAAAAAAAGTTATATTTTGGTCTCATCTTTCCACAAAACATTTCTCCAGTAGCCTTCTGGCTTGTCCGCATGATCTTTAGCAAACTGCAGACTGGCAGCAATGTTCTTTTTGGATGCACCATGCACACCGTGGTTGTTCAGTGTTCTCCTGATGGTGGACTCATGAACATTAACCAATGTGAGAAAGACCTTTAGTTGCTTAGAAGTTACCCTGGGCTCCTTTGCAACCTTGCAGACTATTACACGTCTTGATTTTAGAGTTTTCTTTGTTGGTGGACCACTCCCGGGGAGGGTAACAGTGGTCTTGAATTTCCTCCATTTGTACACAATCTGTCTGACTGTGGAGTCAAAACTCTTTAGAGATGTTTTTGTAACCTTTTCTAGCCTGATGAGCAACAGCAACTCATTTTCTGAGGTCCTGAGATCATGCCATGATACACTTCCACAAACATGATCAGACTTTTGATAGATCCCTGTTCTTTAAATAAAACAGGGCACACACTTACACCTGATAGTAATTTCACTGATTGAAAACAACTCAGGGACTCTTAATTTCACCTTCAAATTAACTGCCAATCCTAGAGATTCACATACTTTTCCCACTCACAGATACGTAATATTGTATAATTTTCCTGAATAAATAAATGACAAAGAACTTATTTTTGTCTCACTTGTTTGATTGGGTTCTCTGTCTACTTTCAGGACTTGTGCGAAAGTCTGATTATGTTTTGGGTCATATTTATGCAGAAATATAGAAAATTCTAAAGGGTTCGCAAACTTTCAAGCGGCACTGTATATATATATGTGATATTGCTTATTTATGAGCTCACCAAAAAAACAGAAAGTGGGACTTTAATTAAGAAGAACATTTTAATTTAAGTTGACATCAAAATGACTCCAAGATATGACATAAGCTGTAACAATATCAAAAACTGCAGGACATTTCCATCCCCCATCGCTTCCTCTAATGGAAGAGCTATAATACAAAATCTCCACTGTGGTCCAATACACTGATCCTGTGCGGTAATTTAAACATTAAAACAGAAGAGATGTCCCAAATAAAGATGAGATCTATGTGTGATATATAACATCCTGTTCACTTGTACATGACCAGACCTCCGCAGAGGAACTAACTGAATTAATAAATACCCTTTCCCTCTCAGCACTGTAACCAACATCCACTGACCAGACGGATATGCTGTCCACACATTCTACAACACAAATGGGTCATTCCGTTGAATCTGGGCGAAAAAGAGCTGCACTATACAATGCAAATAACTGATTTATGTTAAAGGGATAGCTTGTTTTAAAAAGTCAAATTACCTGGATTTAGCATTCAACACAGGGTTAAATAACCCAGATAATTTAATTTCATATTTTGATCCCTCAGGTTATTTTATTCTTTTAAATACAAGGTAGGGATAATTTCAATCATAAATCCCAGGGAGACATCCAAAATAAAAATATAAAATGAAATGCTTCTGATAAAAAAAAAAAGAAAAAAAAAAGTGAAAGCAGAAAACCAGGTTAGCTAAAATTTGAGGAAAAGTCTCCTTTAAATTCAAATATGTTTGTATATAAAAACAAATGTAAAAAATGGGGCACCTCATGTTTCTTACGAACATTTTTAGATTCTGTCCATTTTATCCTCTACTCTGCCAACACCACAAAGTTGATGTTTTGTTCAGCGGCAGTATGGGACACTCGCAGTCTATGAGGACGCTGTGTGAAGGTTCTAGCGTCGTCTGAAGGCTCTGGATATTCTCCAGGCATTTGGTTCCTCGTAGCGGTTGTAGAGGGGCTCCAACCGCTGCTGTTTCTTCTGCTTGCTGAGGCGTGTGGGATCAGAGACTTTGAAGAATGCTGGAGAAAATTCTACAAGCCACCTTGGGTCAATGGTGGTCACCTCCCTCATGTACTCTTTAGTGGTCAGCACAAGCTCATGATACACCACCCTGGGGAAAGGAAGGGATGGAATCCAGCTTTAGTACAAGCAGCATGGATACTAAGTTGTGTTGTTAATCTCTTCTGGCAACATTGTTGGTGGCAATTGATTCAACGTGACTAATAAACACACGACTACGGCAATATACGGTTTATCTGAGTTCTTATTATTATTATAATTTTCATTAAAATAAAGTATATTTATAATGCAATGCCTTTATCACTGCTTAAATACTATGAAATATGTTGCGTGCCTTATTCTGTGTAAGAAGCCACATCATCTCACAGAAGGATTTATTTCAAACACTCAACTGACGTTATGAAGTGAGTTTGGAGTAAAAATGTTATTAAAATGTGGTATTTTCACATGCTTACAGATGGAGCAGCATTTACTTCACAGAGCCGTAGTTCACTGAGAAGCTATGCAAACAGCTGTCATTATCGAGAACGATTTCTTCTATTTCATAATCGCGCAATAAAATCGTCTACGATTTTTTTGCATAACTTGTCAGTGAACTACGGCTATGTGTAGTAAATTCTGCTCCATCTGAAAGCACGTGATGATGATTTACTGCTGATTACAGAACCGGCTTAACTAACAAAATGCGCACGACAATCGCATTCGATTAATCGTGCAGCCCTAATGACAACTATAACAAAGTTTTAAAAATCATTCCTATTCTATGAGAATAGGGATGTTCACACCACAACTATAACCATAATGACACAGAGGAATGATATCAATATAATCACTTCCAGATTTTTTCCTATAATAAACATGGCCAATCAGAATCCACTCAACTTTAAAGAACTCGAGCAAAGCAGTGAATGACATAACTGCAGCTCATACTTATAATAAAGTGAATGTTATTGTCCGTTGGTGTCAATGCTAGTATAGTTATCAATATAGTTATTGCACTTGGTGTGAATAGGCCTTAAGGCTCAGGGTGTGTAATATGATGTAAGGAAGTCATATAAAGTTACTGTTATTCTCAACC